CTCAGGGTGGACACAGAGGGACAGCTGCCAGGGCACAGTGTTTTTATGGGCTTCAGAGAGGGCATCCCATACTGGCTGAGAAACAGCCTTTTGCTTGAATGCCAACGCCCCCCTGCTGGAAGATCTTGCTGCTGCTGTCTAGTGGTGGAACCGTAAATGGACTGTGTGGGACGTGAGAGCAGCGGCTTCAGAGCAGATAGGGGATGTTTGTGCAAAGGTGAAGGCAGGGAGCAGTGGTCAAGCTGAAGTAGCTGCATGCATGAGATTAGCAGTTATGGAGGAAGGGTTAGGGGGTAGTTGCAGAGATAGTCTGTGCTGAAAGGGTGCAGAGGGGAGCTTTGGATGTGGGGGCAGAAGTGCACTCTCTGCATAGCAAACCCTGAACCCTGCACTGTGGACATAGTGGACCCCTGAATTCAGCACTCTGTGTATTGCGCACTCCTGAACCCTGCACTCTATGTATTAGGCAGTCCTGAACCCTGCATTCTGTGTATTATTCATTACTGAACCTTGCACTCTGGGTATTATGCAGTCTTGAATGCATCACTATGTGTATTATTCAGTCCTGAAACCCTGCAATTTTGTGTTACACACTCCTGAACACTGTGCCTGTGTGTTATGCACATATGGTTTTATTTAACAATGCCCCTTTAAGACCCTCACACTGTGAAATTTGCCCATACCCACCCTATGACACAGCACACTCCTCTGTGGGAGGGAGTTTCTGCACCTTTAATCTGAGAGAAAAAACCCTGGCGCCCACCATGACCCTGTTACTGGTTCACCAGTTTTCCATCCTTGGACCACTTTTTAGTAGGTCCTGACCACTGCAGAGTGGGGAACATCCCAAAAGAGTTTCAGTTTTGGAGTTGCTCTGACCCAGTCATCTAGCCATTACAACATGGCCCTTGTCAAAATTGCCCAAATCCTTACACTTGCCCACTTTTTTCTGCTTTCAATACATTAACATCAGGGACAACATGTTCACTTGCTGCCTAATCTATCCCACCCCCTGTCAGGTACCATTGTCACAAAATAATCAATGTTATTCATTTTTTACCTGTCAGTGGTCAAAATGTTATTGCTAATTGGTGTATAATATGATATTGACTGAGCAGATCCACCAATATGATATAATTTCAGTTGCTCTGCACTTGATTCTCATTTTTGCAGATATTGAAAGCTCTCGCACTGTCACGATGTTTTCAAATTGTAGCTAGTTCGCACAGAGTATGATGGGAGCTTACTAAAAAAAAAAAAAAAAGGATTATGTGGTGTGTAAATCAACCATGCACACATTTAAAATTATCTTTGTTCATCAATATACAGTGGGGCAAAAAAGTATTTAGTCAGCCACCAATTGTGCAAGTTCTCCCACTTAAAAAGATGAGAGAGGCCTGTAATTGGCATCATAGGTAGACCTCAACTATGAGAGACAAAATGAGAAAAAAAATCCAGATAATCACATTAGCTGATTTGGAAAGAATTTATTTGCAAATTATGTGGAAAATAAGTATTTGGTCACCTACACACAAGCAAGATTTCTGGCTCTCACAGACCTGTACCTTCTTCTTTAAGAGGCTCCTCTGTCCTGCACTCATTACCTGTATCAATGGCACCTGTTTGAACTTGTTATCAGTATAAAAAGACACCTGTCCACAACCTCAAACAGTCACACCACTCCAAACTTCACTATGGTGAAGACCAAAGAGCTGTGAAGGACACCAGAAACAAAATTGTAGACCTGCACCAGGCTGGGAAGACTGAATCTGCAATAGGTAAGCAGCTTGGTGTGAACAAATCAACTGTGGGAGCAATAATTAGAAAATGGAAGACATACAAGACCACTGATAATCTCCCTCGATCTGGGGCTCCACGCAAGATCTCACCCCATGGGGTCAAAATGATCACAAGAACGGTGAGCAAAAATCCCAGGACCACCACGGGGGGGACCTAGTGAATGACCTGCAGAGAGCTGGGACCAACGTAACAAAGGCTACCATCAGTAACACACTATGCCGCCAGGGACTCAGATCCTGCAGTGCCAGACGTGTCCCTCTGTTTAAGCCAGTACATGTCTGGGCCCGTCTGAAGTTTGCTAGAGAGCATTTGGATGATCCAGAAGAGGATTGGGAGAATGTCATATGGTCAAGATGAAACCAAAATAGAACTGTTTGGTAGAAACACAACTCGTCGTGTTGTTTGGAGGAGAGAGAATGCTGAGTTGCATCCAAAGAACACCATACATACTGTGAAGCATGGGGGTGGCAACATCATGCTTTGGGGCTGTTTCTCCACAAAGGGACCAGGACAACTGATCCATGTACAGGACAGAATGAATGGGGCCATGTATTGTGAGATTTTGAGTGCAAACCTCCTTCCATCAGCAAGGGCATTGAACATGAAACGTGGCTGGGTCTTCCAACATGACAATGATCCCAAATATACCGCCCGGGCAACGAAGGAGTGGCTTCGTAAGAAGCATTTCAAGGTCCTGGAGTGTCCTAGCCAGTCTCCAGATCTCAACCCCATAGAAAACCTTTGGAGGGAGTTGAAAGTCCGTGTTGCCCAGCGACACCCCCAAAACATCACTGCTCTAGAGGAGGATCTGTATGGAGGAATAGGCCAACATACCAGCAACAGTGTGTGCCAAACTTGTGAAGACTTACAGGAAACATTTGACCTCTGTCATTGCCAACAAAGGATATATAACAAAGTATTGAGATGAACTTTTGATATTTGACCAAATACTTATTTTCCACCATAATTATGCAAATAAATTCTTTCCAAATCAGCCAATGTGATTGTCTGGATTTTTTTTCTCATTTTGTCTCTCATAGTTGAGGTCTACCTATGATGCCAATTACAGGCCTCTCTCATCTTTTTAAGTGGGAGAACTTGCACAATTGGTGGCTGACTAAATACTTTTTTGCCCCACTGTATATGTGTTGACTCATGAAAGTATCTATGTTTTGCGTGATTTTTACTGATAATGCATTTTCATCTTTCTTTCAATTACTATTCTTATTGATAATGATTAGTATTATAATGAATACAAATAAAGTCTATAAATGGGTAAATTCTATAATGCCTTCTATAGTACAGCGCAGTGAAATATACAGCACAATAATAAAAAATGTTTTAAAGGGATCCTAATAACATAGTGTCTATGAAGACATAAATAAAGATAATAACACAATGGTATCCTGTGCTTACATGAAAAAAAAAAAAAACAAATCCAATAGTGATACAGAATGTTCGATAAACAAATATGAAAAAAAATAAATAAGTGTCCATTTCAAGCTTTCATTGCTCTCTGCTCTCTTCTGTGAAAAAATATCATGCATCTTGCATCTTTCCACCTTGTGAAAAATACACTATATTGCCAAACGTATTGCTACACCTTCCAAATAATTGGATTCAGGTGTTCCAATCCCTCCATGGCCACAGGTGTATAAAATCAAGCACCTAGGTATGCAGACTACTTCTACAAACATTTGTAAAAGAATGGGTTTGCTCTCAGGAGCTCAGTGAATTCAGGTGTGGTGCAGTGATAGCTTGCCACCTGTGCACTAAAGATCTCCAAACTTTGTGTCACCTTCAGATTAGCACAGCAGTATGTAGAGAGCTTCATGGAATGGGTTTCCATGGCTGAGCAGCTGCATCCAAGCCTTACATTACCAAGTGCTATGCAAAGCGTTGGATGCAGTGGTGTAAATCATACTGCCACTGGACTCTAGAGCAGTGGAGATGTGTTCTCTAGAGTGACAAATCACGCTTCTCTGTCTGGAAATCTGATGGACGTGTCTGGGTTTGGTGTTTGCCAGGAGAACAGTAATTGCTTGACTGCATTGTGCGAAGTGTAAAGTTTGGTGGAGGGTGGATTAACATGTGGGGTTGTTTTTTGGGGGTTGGGATTTCCAGTGAAGGGAACTCTTAAGGCGTCAGCATACCAAGACATTTTGGACAATTTTCATGCTCCCAACTTTGTGGGAAGAGTTTGGGATGGCCCCTACCTGTTCCAACATGACTGCGCACCAGTGCACAAAGCAAGGTCCAAAAATACATGGATTAGCGAGTTTGGGATGGAGGAACTTGACTGGCCTGCACAGAGTTCTGAGCTCAACCCGATAGAACACCTCTGGGACGAATTAGAGCAGACACTTCGAGCCAGGCTTTTTCGTCTTGACATCAGTGCCTGACCTCACAAATGTGCTTCTGGAAGAATGGTCAAACATACCCATAGGCACACTCCTAAACCTTGTGGACAGCTTTCCCAGAAGAGTTGAAGCTGTTATAGCTTCAAAAGGTGGGACAAACTCAATATTGAACCCTATGGAGTAAGACTGGGATGCCATTAAAGTTCATGTGCATGTAAAGGCAGGAGCCCCAATACGTTTGGCAATATGGTGTATCTTCCTGTGCACCATCTAGAACAATCCACAGTGATCCCTTTCAACACAATAATCAGGTCTGCACTTACCACACTAAAATTCCTTTCTTTTTTGAGAAACCGCTCACAAGCTCAGACTGTCTCACAAGGAATCCATCTCTGTTAGCATGAATGACTGCTCAGGACTCCAGACTGCAGTGGTTCCCCTCCTCAATAGAGTAAAACCAAGCTCAAAGTAATAACTACTTACCAACCGCAGATAGCTGAATGACGGCTACACTGCGGCTGGTCAGTTCTGGGAGGGCATCATATGACGTCCTCCCAGAACGCACTCTCCTGCGTGCCCCCGGGGGCGCGCGCACCCGGCTATCTCCGTGGTCGGACACAGCTGATCACGTGATGTGGTAAAAGGCCAATCACAGCGGCCTTTTACCATGTGATCAGCCATGTCCAATGACACGCTGATCACCGGGAAATGCAATTGCCGGTTCTCAGCTGCACTTTCCTTGCGCTGTCAGAGCATGAGGAAAGTACTGCCGAGAACCGCAGTTGTCAGAGCAGGGATCGGCACCGATCATCAGGGCACTGATGATCAGTGCCCTGATGATCAGTGCCCAGCAGTGCCTCCCACCTGTGCCAGCAGTGCACCCACCTGTGCCCAGCAGTGCCCACCAGTGCCACCCAGCAGTGCACACCCACCTGTGCCCAGAAGTGCCACCCACCCGTGCCCACCAGTGCCACCCACCAGTGCCCATCAGTGCAGCCCAGCAGTGCTACCAGTCAGTGCCACCAGTCAGTGCCCAACGGTTGTGCCAGTCAGTGCCCAGCATTTGCGCCAGTCAATGCCTAGCAGTGCCGCCAGTCAGTGCCCAGCAGTGATACCAGTCAGTGCCACCTATCAATGGTGTCTATCAGTACCCATCATCAGTGCCACCTATCCGTGCCACCCTCATTAGTGCTGCCTATCAGTGCTGCCTATCAGTGCCCATCAGTGCTGCCTATCAGTGCCGTCTATCAGTGCCCATCAGTGCTGCTTCATTAACGTACATCAGTGAAGGAGAAAAATTACCTGTTTGAAAAATTGTATAATAGAAACAAAGAGATTTTTTTTTTTTAATTTTTTGCACTTTTTTTTTGTATATAGTGCAAAAAGTAAAGTGCCCAGCGGCGATTAAATACCACCAAAAGAAAGCTTTATTTGTGAGAAAAAAGTGATAAAAATTTCATATGGGTACAATCTTGCATGAACGCACACAGTTCAAAGTGCAACAGCGCTGGTGAAAAGAAGGGGGTATAAGTGCCCAGTAGGCAAGTGGTTAAAGGCATCAGAGCAGTGCTGATCCTCCTCTTCTAGCATCCCCCGCTGCTGTTCCTGGCCCTCCCCTCCTTCCACGTGCCACCAGAGCAAGCAGCTTCCTATGGGGGTACCCAAGCAGGCCAGTCCCCGAGCCACTGCTCTATGTCCATTCACACACTGTGCAGCAGCTTGGGTGCACCCCTCTCTCTCCTCATTGGCTGACTGGCTGTGATTGACAGCAGCAGGAGCCATTGTTTGTTGTTCTATTAGACTCAAGCACCTAATGGTTAAACGCTTTTTCCCATGTCATTATACCACTCAGCAACACAGCCATAGCTTCTCACCTCACTCCCAGTGACAATGCGAGTTCCCGCTAGACTATTAGTGCAGATCTTGGTTTGCTAATCAGCTTTAGGCCTCATGCACACAGGACGTTTTAAAAATGCTCCTCCACTTGGCAGCAGCGTTTTGGCAGAAAGAGAAATGCTGACGCTTATAAAAGTGTCTAAAGCTTCTACAAGGGTTTAGGCGTATTTACAGGTGTCACACACTTAGGCATTAATTCATTTCATTGGTCAGAATAGTAATTTAATCTGGCCATTAAAATGAATTAACGTTCAAGTGCTAAACGCACCTATCGTTAACATGTGTTTAACCACTTGACCACCTGAGGATTTACCCCCCTTAATGACCAGGCCTCTTTTTGTTACTCGGCGCTGCACTAATTCAACTGATAATTGCGCGGTCATGCAATGCTGCACCCAAACCAAATTTATGTCCTTTTTTTCACACAAATAGAGCTTCTTTTGGTGTAATTTGATCACCTGTGCGCTTTTTATTTTTCACGCTATAAACAAAAAAAGGCCAAAAATTTTGAAGAAAAACAATATTTTTTACTTTCAGCTATAAAAAATATATAGTAAACTTAAAGTTGGTTATAAATTTAGGCCAAAATGTATTCTGCTCCATGTTTTTGGTAGAAAAAATCCCAATAAGTGTATATTGATTGCTTTGTGTGGAAGTTATAGCGTCTACAATCTATGGTATAAATACTGCAATTTACGCCATTTTTCTGCTATACAGCACTGTGCTAGTTTAATGGACAATTGCGCGGTCATGCAATACGGTACATAAATGAAATTTACATCTTTTTTTTCCCCACAAATTGAGCTTTATTTTGGTGGTATTTGATTGCCTGTGCGGTTTTTATTTTTTGCGCTATAAAAAAAAAGGCTGACAATTTTGAGGAAAAAAAAACAATATTTTGGACTTTTTGCTATAAAACATGTCCAGTAAAAAAAAAATGCAAAAATCAAATTTAGTCATAAATTTCTGCCAAAATGCATTCTGCGACATGTCTTTTCTAAAAAAAAAAAACCCAATACGCGTAAATTAATTGGATTACGTGAAAGTTATAGCGTTTACAAATGGCGGGAAAGATACTGGGATTTTTAGGGTTTTTTTTTATACTAATAATGGCGGCGATCAGCGAATTATGGAGGCGATCAGGGACTTATGGCGGGACTGCGGGACTGCGGCGGACATTCTGACATTGGGGGCTACTGACTTGGAGTCACTGACATCCCCAAAAACAATAATACAGTGATCAGTGCAAAAAAAAAAACACTGACACTGTACTAATGGCAATGGGGAGGAAGGGGTTAACTTTATTTTGCAGGGAAGGGATTATAGGAGTGAGGGGAGTGTTTTACTAGGGGGCGGGGGTGTGTACTGGACGGGACAAGGCTGATCGAGAAAGAGAAACTGTTCTTTCTCAATCAGCTCATCCTCGAGCTGACAGGGAAGTGACAGACAGCACAGCTACTGCAGCTGTGCTGTCTGTCACTGTTTGCCGCCGATCACCAGGAGATAGCCGCTAAGGACCGGCTGTGACCCGGCGACTCACATCTGCGGCGGTGATCGGCGGGACAAATAGGGCGGCGGCGCGCCTTGCGCGCGCCCCCTAGCTGTTTACAAAACACGCGTTTTAAAATGTGGCTTTTTGCCAGTGCCGCCCTGCCGCCGTATATCTACAGTGGCAGGGCGGCAAGTGGTTAAGCACACTTCGACGCGTCAAGTTTCTTTTCTGCTGAAACAGTGCTGCTCCTGGACGCACCTGGCAGTGGGTTTTTTTACAGTTCATAAAAGCCTCTGCCACTAAAAGCTTCTAAAAGTCTATGTGCATGGAGACATAGGACAATATTGAGTGCCATTTGGCACCTGTAAAAAAAAAAATTATATATACACTTAATGGGGCCAGTTTATACAGGAGCTGATTAACCTACCAGTTTTGGAGTATTAATATATCAATGACCCCCTTAACTCAACTCCCACCAAAAAGTCACACTTTCTCCCTAGAAAGTACAAATAATACATATACCTTCTTGTGATACACCACATAAATTCCCAAATTCATGATTTCATGATATAGCCTATGAATACTCCCAGAGGGTAATAGTATTTAGTATTACTGTTGGCTGGATCACAGAGTGCACACTATATTTGGAGTGATCACGGAGTGTTCATGTTTTGGTTTATATATATTTATATATTTCTTTTTTTTTTTTCTCTCTGCACATTTAAAGAGTGGTTTGTGTTTTGCACAGATTGGAACGTTTTGTATATGTTTAAAGATAACACACTATAGATTATTTCTTTTTACTGAGGTTTTTGTGGAATAATTAGGATTATATTCCTTTTTACTGGATTGAAGTGGAAAATCTGGATTTTTTGTTTTTTTTGGACACATCTGAAACTTTTTATTGGACACATTTGAGACTGATATTGAATTGGACACTTTATGGTTTATTTGATTTATTTAATTTAATTTTCATATGGTTTTTGGAATTTATGTGGTGTATCACAAAAAGGTATATGTATTAGCTTTGGAGTATTAATATATATTATTATAACACGCTGGAGCACCACACTATTTTATATGTTTATCAGGATTAATTTCTTGGTTGTATAAATTACCAATCAATGCAGGCAAACTCTAGACACTCATTGCAGCCCATGAGCAAAAAAAAATATATTTTGTATTCTGTTGAGCTGACGATAAAGATGGTGGGATAGATTTTGGTGTTGATTCTAACTGTATTTTGGAAATGATTGCTCTTAGCTTTGGTGGAGGATGCCAGTTTATGTAAAGAGAGCATCTTTGTCTATGCTTATGTTGAAAGAAACTTGTCACAGTGTTTGGAATATTTGCTGTGTATCCAGAGGCACATCTTTACAGACATCTAAAAAAAAGCTCCAAGCATGGCCAGCCACAGCTTCTGAAATGAAAACTGTGCAATTCATATATAGGATAGATTGCTTTTAACTCGTCATTTGTGTTAAAATTGTACAAAAAAAAAACACACACTGTGCTATTTTGTCACTCAAAATACTAAAGTAATTGTAAAAACTGCCATATTGGTTTATATATGACCCATTGGGTTACTTACTTGAGAACCTGAGGAGAGAAGGATTATTACCCATGATATTGGGAAGGCTGATTTTGACCTAATTTATAGTGGGTCAATAAGTGGAGGTAAGCAGCAGAACTGACTGGTGGAGGCACAGGGTGGTGTTACAGCACATGGAGATCAGGAGCATGTCTTTTATTATAGAAGTGTGGACATTACACTGCTAGCACAAATTTGGAGCACGGGAAGATATTTCTTGCAGTTCTTTATTAACACTATTTTATTTAATATTTATATTTTGTATCACCAAGGAATATTTATTATTTTATTTATTTATTTATTTTGCATACCTACTTTTATCCACAGGTGTGATGTAGTTATGTTATAAGTGCACACATACAGTTGCAAGAAAAAGTATGTGAACCCCTTGGGATTACGTGGAGTTTTGCATGAATTGGGCATAAAATGTGCTTTGAACGTCATCTAAGTCACAACAATAGAAGAACACAATCTGCTGAACATAATACTACACAAACATTAGATGTTGCCATGGTTTAATTGCACGTAACATGTAAACATTCACAGTGCAGGGAGGAAAAAGTATGTGAGGCCCTAGCTTAATGACTTCTCCCAGAGCTAATTGGAGCCAGGAGTGAGCCAACATTGACTCCAATCAGTGTGATGATATTGGATGTGTTGCTGACAGCTGTCCTGCCCTTAAAAAACACACACCTGTTTTGGGTTTACTGGTTTCAAGAAACACTGTCTGATGTGAACCATGCCTCGCAGAAAAGAGCTCTCAGAAGACCTACGATCAAGAATTGTTGACTTGCATGAAGCTGGAAAGGGTTACAAAAGTATCTCCAAAAGCCTTGATGTTCATGTGTCCACGGTAAGACAGACTGTTCTACAAATGGAGAAAGTTTAGCACTGTTGCTACTCTCCCTAGGCGTGGTCATCCTGTAAAAATGACTGCAAGAGCACAGCGCAGAATGCTGCATGAGGTAAAGAAGAATCCCAGAGTGTCAGCTAAAGACCTACAGAAATCTCTGGCACATGCTAACATTTTTGTTGACACATCTACAATAAGGAAAACATTAAACAAGAATGGAGTACATGGGAGGACACCACGGAGGAAGCCATTGCTGTCCAAAAAGAATATTGCAGCATGTTTGAAGTTTGCAAAAGAGCACCTGGATGTTCCACAGCACTACTGGCAAAAATATACTGTGGACAGATGAAACCAAGATTGAGTTGTTTGGGAAGAACACACAACACTATGTGTGGAGAAAAAAAGGCACAGCACACCAACA